TGTTTCTGAGCTGGAAGAGATTGTCACCCCGAAGCACCTAAAAGATGCCGATGCGTGTGACAAGGCTCTCCATACTTCCTATCGGTCCTTGTTGGGAAGCGTCAATTGGTTGCAGTCGAGAACTCAGTTCCAGGCTTGTTACCAGTTTTCCTGACTGGCTTCAGCATCTGCTGCTCCAACCGTTGGTCACTGTAAGGAGTTGAACAGGTTGTGTCGACAGATTTGCAGTGAAGAGGTTCAGTTGCGGGTGTGGGCTGTTAAGGGATCGCCTAGGATTCTTGGAACTCCTGACGCGGCTTTTAGGAACAACAGCGACAAATCACCCCAGCGTGCGATGACGGTTTGTGTTGCTGATGAAAGGGTCAAGGTTCGAACGGACACCCGAGGCTCATTGGTCTTCTTCGAATCAACACGACCCTCAGCACTACTGTCGCTGAACTCTATGCTCTCACGACAGGAAGCAGCTGGCTCGTCTGCTGCCTTCCTTTTCCTCCCTGCCATGGCTTCGCACCTGGAGCCTGGCTTGAAATTTGAAGCAGCAAAAAATGGAGCCGAAAGCTCAAGGCGAGATGAAGAATCGCAGGAAGCTAATGCAGACGGGGCGAAACTGACATTTTATTCCCGGTTGCAAGCTAGCTCTGTTTTTACTCAGTTCGGCTTAAGGCTGGGGAGTCCAATAAACTGCTTCTGCTCTTGGAACTAGCCCGCGCTTGGCCGCCTAAGAGGCTGGAGAGGTTTAAAACTTCGCACTGCCCGTCCAGGCATGCTTGCTCGACAGCAGCTTGGAAACCCTACCTGCCTGGACCTACGTGAAGACTCGGATGAAAACTTTTCAGGGATAGCTGTCGGGCTCCAGACTTCTAGCTTTGGGTGGGATTCTGCAGGGCCGTGGTGCCATACCTGCCTTTTACATATTATGCTTGAGCCTGGGCGTCTATGCAGCCACCCTGAAAGGAAAGCACTTAGGCTTTTTTGAGGGCAGCGGTGACGTCCACGTTAAGCTTCTTGGAAGCTTGCAGGGTCGACGCAGCCTCAATCAGTCCGGGCTTAGCCTCCTCAAGTTTGGCCTTCTTCATGGCGTCCAGGCTTGCACGGAGCCGCTCCAAGGCCGCACATTGCTTGGTGAGGGACTTCAAGTACTTGGAGTACTTGGCCCTCTTTGCGATGCTGCTGCCATTGACCTGGAGCTTGAGGCGTTGCAGGGTGCCGTACTCCTTGGCCAGGTCCTGGACGAACATGTTAGCCTGGAGATGGATGGTAAATTGGGCGGCTTAAACAGCCAGAAACGGTTCGGTCTCGGGCTAAACCAAAACAATTCTTCCATCGAGCGGCCTTTTCCTTGAGCTCGTCTTTGGTTGTCTTCTCGGTGACTTGGCTGGCGGTCTCCCACTCATTGGCTTTCTTCTTGGGGGCAGGCTTTGCTCCTCCGCCTCCTCCCTCGCTGCCGGTTGGCAACCTCTTGTCCTCCGGGTTCCTCCTGTACAGGATGGCTCCAGCCTCCACTCTTTGCTTTAGCTCGTCCTCGCCGATCTTGTCACACGTCTCCTTCCAACTCAGCCACGAGGCCTGGACTCCTGTGGAGTGGGTGTAGTTGACGATGTTTGCTAGCTACGCCATGCTCGTTGCCAGCTTCACGAGCTCCTCCATTCGCCCCACCAATTTTTCCAGCACATGTATGCTACCGTTGGCTTGCGCAGGGCCCGGTGCCGATCCACCCATTGGTGGCTGATCCGCCGTCGATGCAGGCAAGACGATCAAACCCTCAGCCCTCAGCTCCCCAAAGCCTGCAAGATCAACACGATGGCGGACCATTTCCCTCTTTTGTGTTTAGAGGCGGTCAGAGATTCAATGCCCGTCCTGCCGCCCCTTCCTCATGGCATTGCTGTTCCAGCAGCCAAGAAGCTTTTAAGAGCGATATATCTAGCCTCTTTGTGAAGGAAGTACTTGAGGGGGTTCCGCGTTGTATGTTGGAGCGAAGATGCGTGCAAAACCTTCGGGTATTTTTTCGGGGGCAAGAAGGTATTTGCTAGTTTGTCGTACTTGTTCTCCAAGTCTTCCCACATGGATTGAAGCACAGGGTCTGCGAGTTTAGAGTTACCCGCTATGATAGGGCGGGTCAGAAACGATGGGTCGGCTAAACAGTCATCGCCCCTTTTGAGGACATTCGGATCCAATGCACCAGCTTGCCTAAGATGCACTTTCACGGGCGCAGTGACACTCCCGTACTCCAGTTGCTACAGCGCGAAGTCCTTTTATGTTGCACACGAATCAGCCGGTAGCTGCTAAAGGTGATGACCCAGGTCTGCTCTTCCTCTCGAAAAATTGGTGCTGCTTGCGTCATGCGTTCCACCAGAAACCATCCTCCGGAATGCCGGGAACGAAGCACTCCTGTGACTACGCGCTTGCTTTGGAAGCTGGTGCCATTGTCGTCGGATCGCAAGGGCGCTGAGGGGGCTGCCGCCGTATTCACGAGGAGATGCGCGTGCCAGCCACAGTGGACGTTAGTGGGCAAGCACGCTGAGATACATTTTAGCAGGTTTTATCTATTGAAGTAGTTGTTGTGAGCCGGCTTGCGAGATGTACGTGTGTAACCCAGCAGGCCACGAACCACATGCTTCGCTGGAGTGTCTGAGTGCTACACTTCGAACCCGTGCGACGATACACTCTATTTGGCACCCGTCTTGATAGTCCCAAGGGCACAAATCAGGCAATAAAAACCAAATTGGGGTGTCAGGGTTTGGGAAAGGGTGTCAGGGATTTAGGTTGAGGGGCCAGAACCGTTTGCAGCTATCGCAATCTCCGAGACATGTCGGAGGAACTCGGTGCAGCGCTCAAGGAAGTCTGCAGCTTTCAGGCGCGTGCGGAAACAGGTGGAAGTTCCATCAGAAGATACAGATATAAGTTCAGACTTCAGAGAGAAATTACGGCCATTTGAATTGCTCAAAGCAGGATTACGTACGGCTACGGACACCTTGGCGCAGCCAGCCTGGTTCTTTTAGGACGATTGCAAATCATAGAATTGAAAGGCTTCTGAATGCCGCTATTACACAACTGACACTGCAAAGCCCAACTTGCGAGAACCCATCCCAACAACAAAAGTCACAGCCCGCATGCTTGCAATGAGCCGTAAAAAGAAGGGTTCGGCCAGCCGGAGCTGAAATGTTGAAAGGATATTCCGAATAATTACGGGGAAAGTTCATCACCATTACCAGCACCACGAAAAAACTGGCAGCAGTGCAAGAAAAGCGTGGGCAATAGTAGCTGATGGCAGTCGCACGCGGTCACCACTATCTCCATATGATATCAGCTGGTCCGATTGCGATTTTCGCAAGGGCGAACCGCGGCACGCTTAGCACGTTGAAAGTTGTAGAATGTCGCTTTACATTGATCAGTGTTTGTACACATACAAGGGGCAATTGCAGCGTTCCAAGCAGTTTTTACTGCTGAACCCGGACTTGGCTCGATATCCCCGAATACGGCTGTGACACCTTCCGTTTTGACGACATCTTGTTGTCTTATTGCGTTGCGCACTTTTCTTCGGTATCAGCATGGGTGTCGCGGTTTGGAGTTCAGGGGATTGAAAACTGCAGTTTCGTTTGCGAGTTTTGCGCTCCGGCCTTCAAACAGGAGGCCGTTGACTGCTCCGGGCAGCCGGCCCGGCACCCCAGTTGAGGTTGACCATTAAAGTTACCATCGGAGGCAAGGCGGAAGAGCTTAACGCACCTCGAAGTTCCACCCTACGCTGCGCACCGTAACCCCGAACTCCAGACTGTGACGCGTGGGTAGGTGCGGGTGTGGATGCGGGTGTGGGCGTGGGTGTGTGTTGTTTGTCCGTCTGTGTCTGTGTCTGTGTGTGTTTGTTTGATTGTCTGTGTCTGTGTGGCCTTAAGTTTCGGCTCCATCTTGCGAAGCCCTTCATACGCGAAGGTCGGCAACGTACGGTGGAGTTCAATTCCCTGAACCCTGAAACCTTGGAGGAACGAACTTTCGCCACCGCTTCAGCGACGAAGTACAAAACTTATGCGACTTCCGTACTCTGGATCTCAAACCCTTCGTGTGACGCTTTCGTTGTGGTTGAATCTAGGATGCCCTACGCTTCCGTATGTGCTAAATTATCCTGCAGCAGCCCGGAGACCCTATAGCCAGCAATCTGACGGCCACAACCACTACAGCCGCAAAGTTTTAAACAGGGCGTCTGCAAGCAAGCTCAATAAGATATACGTAGAAAGCGCAGTGCTCCAGAACTTGTTCCAGGACCGTCAACCCCCAAGTGCCACTAAGTCCCTACGTGCGACTAGCGGCCTTACCACACCATAGCTTGCGGACAGAGCCTCAGGATTCAGATGGAAACTACAGGGTCTTCGTCCTGCAGTTGCTCTGCTGTTATCTGCTGTTTGCAGTTCGGGATTCAGGAGTTGGTGGTCCTTGCTATTCCAGCTGAATGTTGCCGTTCTCTCATCTGGACATTGTTGTCGCGACGTTTTTTTCACTAGGGTCGATGGAAGGCGGCCAACTCGGAACGGTCACAGAGTTGGTCAGAAGCATTTGTCTGAACACACTCTGTACCCTCAAGAAAGGAATTTCCTGCAGGGCTGAGATGGTTACGGGGTGAGTCTGTGCGTGCCATGGCTGCAAACATGTTTAAATCAGCGTAAACACCTGTAGACAGTACAGTGTCTCAAACTATATAAGATGCCGGAGAAGAAGTCAGTTTCTCAGCATAGCTGTAGTCTACCTTTTAAGACTTTGTGGTGTTCACCAACAGCTTGAAGTAGCCTTTCTGTACTCTGACATGATACAACTGATATAACTTGACGGCGTTCGACGTGCTCGATGTAGCCACCCTGCAACATTATCGTAATTTCGTAAAGTGTGCATGACAGAGCAATCCATCCCCATTCAAATCAAACGATTGCACTTCCTGCCAGCGTGGGAAGTATGCCGAAATCACCAACCTCCAACTGCAAAGCATCATGCGGCAAAAAGCGTGCACCAAGAAATCGTGGTTGAATAAAACACCACCGCAACGAACAGAATTTCCCCCCCCCCCCCCTCTGTTGTGGTTTGTGTTTCGGTGCTTCTGGGGTTCCTGATTTCTTGCCGTGTGCACGTCTTAGGGATTCTGGACGTTCACTCTTGGGTGATCCCGCGCAAACCGCTGAGGTTCCCCAGGCATCCTGTAGATTGGTGCCTTCGCATCATGGCGAAATGGACATCCGCGGTTGGGGACTTCAGAGTAACGCCCCCACCCCCTCCTAAGATTGCCATGCGTTGCAAACCGTCCAATGACAGCCGAATAAGCAGAAAAACTAAACCCCATAAGTGGTCTAAAAACTTTAGCTATCTCTGCCTGCCTCAGAAAACTCCTGTCTACAGAGTCTACTGTCGACGCGCTGCTACTTCATATTGTCCTGGAGTCCTGGTTTCCATAACCGCAGACACTCATGCCGAGACGTAGAGCCAAAGTTGAGCATACATCCTGTTTCAGAGACAAGGGTGCCGAGGTTTTCAGCGCTTGTCTTTCTTGCATGTGTACTTCAATCTCCCTTGTCTGGCCTTGTCTCCCTTCGTTTGGGACCGGTGGAGTGGCCAATGCCGGAAAGTTGAGCGCAACATGTTCTAAATTCGAAAAGGTCTGACACGCTTCAAGCTCAAGCCAAATTCCCCCGAGAGCCGGTGTCTTCGGAACTATCGTCGTTCAAGAAATCTGCGAATTAAAGCCGGAAGCCATACCAGAAGCGCTCCGTAGAACCTCGCGATCAAAAACCGAGGCTACACGGGCGAAGGCCACCTGGATGTGGACGCCATGCAGCGCGCTGTGAACCGCTTGGTGGCGAGGAGCTCCGGCGTTTTAGGCTTTTGCGGTTCACGCTTGTGTTTACTTTCTGGCTCCCCAGATACATGTTGCAGAGGTTAGGCTCTGGCAGGGGTTTGAGGGCAACTAGAACGATCTTAGGGTCGGAGATGTGGGGCTCCAACGTTTCGCATAAGCTTCTTGAATAGGTAGGCCCGCAAGATGTTGCCGTGAGGATTGAATTGAGTGATGGTTTGAGAATTAGACTTGAGAAAGCTCAATACTGGTGGAAGCGAGGCATTCTTTTGGCTTAACGATGCCAGCTCCAGTCCCGTTACCGAGCTCAGCATGGAAGGCGTTCCCGTCTGGCATACTGGTGATGTCCCCTTCGGAGTTGTTGCTTGTGGCCGGTGTTAGATCGGCAGCCATTTCTGTAGAACTTGCAAGGCTCATGTAACTCAGAGTGTCCCCATCACGCGTCGTCTACATAGTTATTCAGTTATTACATGTTACTTAGGCAAGCTTCCCGCCGCAGTTCCAGGCACAGCGCACTCCGAATGCGGGAGACCCCGGACGAGCCCGTGCGTGAAGCCATTGACAAGGCCATGATGGTAGCCGCACAGAGCGAATGCTGCGCAAGGTCGCCACGTGGCAGACCGGTTCTTTTCTACGAGAGAGTCGTCCCAAAAATGCAGCGTTACACCGGGGCAGCTGCAGCATTCCTAGCCACGGTGGACCTCGGACTCTGGGCTAGTCTTGGCGCGGGGCGAGTCTCAGTTTCGTGTTTTCGGCTTCTCAGGTTCGGGACCTAGGCTTTGTAGCCAGTTTGTAGCTGTTGCCGTATTGCATACTG